AATGGCTATTGCTCTATTTCTTAACTGCTAGCAAATACAGATCTTATGGTTACATAGGAAAAACGAAGATAGAAAGTAATGGTACCAAGTGACAGCTTAATCTTTAAAGAGCTCTATTCTATGCATGCACTAAAACAAAAGGACACATACGGGTACAATTTTTACCCCCTTCTGCGTCGCTCGGTTCCAGCGTTTCAGGCCAGGATCGGTCCCTCAATTCCTCAGAAAGACGAAAATACAAGGTGGGCGTCCCCGTGGACCTCAGGAGGTCAAATCACCTAACCCGACCAGCAGGTAGATGGTAGATTGACACACAGAGTGAGTGTGCTACTGGACCCATCTTTATACCCAGGGGGTCACGTATTTCTCTTTCTTATCTGTGATGGCAAATGGTGCTGGTCTGTCTTTTGTGACACCAGTTCTTACAAGGGAGTTGTGAACTTAATTTACACTTGTAAGGGAGATAACTAAATTGGAAGTACTGGAGATTCTTTTCTCAGTGAGAGATTCCTCTCCCAGGGACGACTGTGTGTGATCGTATCAACTTAGGTGCCAGCCAGGGCAGTTCTCGTGGCCTCGAGGTCAGCTTATTGCCTTAATCGTTCTTTTTCATAGCTACGTTTTCAGCTTACTCAGGGTCAGAGGAGCCCGCATATCCTGGTCTCGCATCGAAGCTTTCAAGGCTATGCTGATTTTTATTGCTCCTTCTCTGCCCTGTATACAGGCACCTCAGAGGGGCAAGCAAGATTGATGTGACGGGGGGGCCTGTCTGGCTACAGAGGCTAAGCGTGGAATATCGCCAAGCCTCATTTGCATATCTAATGAGCCGCCATTTTGTGGAAGAGGCTCTTGTGCCAGAAGGAGCGTCTATACTGCCCCTTGTTGCTCAAGAAAAACCCTCTTGCGCAATGCCCTTATTCCTGAAAATAATCAGCGTAGCGGCATTGCACAAGAGGGTTTTTCTTGCACAAGAAGGGGCAGTGTAGACAGCTTCTTCTGGCGCAAGAACCTTTTCTGCAAAATGGCGGCTCATTAGATATGCAAATGAGGCGTGGCGATATTCCACGCTTAGCCTCATTTGCATATTACTGGCACAAGATCGTGCCAGTGTAGACATAACCCAAGTGTGGAGGAAAAGACAATTATTCAGAATGATCTGATTTTAAAGTTCAATATTTCATGAGGATAATAAAATACTGTTATATACTATTTTGTGGAAATAGAAGATTTGAAAGCTCATGATATTTTTCACAGTTCTGATACTGTTATAACTTCTTTGAACGGGGTGCAAATAAAACTGACTGGAAAATTTCCTGTTGGAATGATTTTCCAAAGGAAAATGCAATTTCTGCAAAACTGAAATTCTGAAAAAGAAAATTTCAATTGCAGAAAAATTTCAAGTTTCCTCTGGGAAAAATCTAAACAAAATACTTTGCTTTGAGGCAGTTTGAACCAAACTGGAATATTTCATTTTGTTGCCCTGACCCAAATGTTTTGAATCAGTTCAACAAAAAATTTAAAAAATTTTTCTATCAGCACATTGGCCTGTGGGAGTTGTAGTTCAGAACCTAATTCTTTACATTTGGCCAGATCCCAGGAAGACTGTATCTCCCATAATACAACATGGCTTTCCCTCCAAACATGCTGCATGGTGCATTATGAGAATCATGTAACTAAGGGTATGTCTACACTACAATGTTAGTTCGAACTAACGGACGTTAGTTCGAACTAACATTCATAGGCGCTATACTAGCGCTCCGCTAGTTCGAATTTGAATCGAACTAGCGGAGCGCTTAGTTCGAACTAGGAAAACCTCATTTTACGAGGATTAAGCCTAGTTCGAACTTACTAGTTCGAATTAAGGGGTGTGTAGCCTCTTAATTCGAACTAGTGGGAGGCTAGCCCTCCCCAGGTTTCCCTGGTGGCCACTCTGGCCAACACCAGGGAAACTCTATTGCCCACCTCCCGGCCCCGGACCCCTTAAAGGGGCACGGGCTGGCTATGGTGCCCGTGCCAGGTGCAAGCCTGCCAGCACCCAGCCAGCAGACCCTGCACCTGGC